TCACTCCACAAGACTGCAGAGAAGGGTAGCGCGCGCCTCAGTACAGGTTTTGTGCTGAAGCCCCCTTAGGGGGAGACAAGGCCCTCATGCTTCACCCCGTCTCTTCGCCCAATGGGCGGTGTACAGCAGGGGGCGCGCGAGGACCAGGGCTTGAGATCGGAGCAGGCAGAGCCCGGAGAGCAAGAACCTGGAGCCTGAGGCTTTCCACCCACCCCACCCTCCTTCCGGACGATTAGCATCTGACGGGTGGAAAGTGGAAGTCCGTCAGCAAAAAGTATGGTGGTCTGGGGCTCCATCTCTCTCTGCCCTTGGATCTGTCTGGAGTTGGGACCCTAGCCAGTTGTCCACAGATTTTAGCCCGAATTGTGTCAGATTCCGAATCTGGTGCGATTTGGGACCAGATAGCCCTCCTTTCCTCGCCGCTAACCCGCACACCTGATTAAGGTGCCTGTATCTTTAACGATCAAAGACGTGGGCGGCGGCGGGGGTGGTATCCTCGCTCCTGTTCCCCAGCACTCCAGAAATTGTACCGTTATTGACATTATAAACATCAGACTCGCTTCCGTGCGGCGCCGCAGCGCCCGGCGCGATGCGCGCAGTCTCTTAGCCGAGCTCCGAGTCCGAAGCTGGAGACGCGGATCCGAAACCAGGCCTCGGCGGACTCTGCCACGGGTGGCTCAGGCTCCAGTCTGGCTGAGCGGGCGCTGGGCTCTCCTGGGCGGAATGCGGGGGTAAGGGCATCTTTCCCCTTAGGGCAGACTCGGGACAAAAGCTCAGAGCTGCCAGAAAGTGGGAGGGAGTGGCCAGAATCCCTTGGAGTCCGCGTCCGTGCGGGTGCAACTGCTGCGCCCTTTAGCAGTCCCCCCAGTACCCGGTGCCTGGTCCCCCTGCTAAATCCCTCGGCTTTTGCCTCTGGGACGAGAGAGCAATGATAAGAGATCTTTTTGCCCAAAGCCTCCCTGGAGGTTCCCAGGACGCTGGAGGGGCGGGCCTCTGCGGTTTGGGGAATCTCTGAGCAGAAAGCAAAGAAGTGCGTCCTTCTCCCGCGTGGATTTCCCGATTGTCCTCCTCCCTCCCGCCTCCATTCTCAGAGGCAAACAGAGGCGAAAACCTGGAGGAGGGTCCTCGAAGCGCGCTCCACTCCATTTGGGATCTCCTGCTCTCACCTCCACCCCAAAGAGCCCGCATCATTGCTCAGCCGTCTCTGTCTTCACTGCTGGGGCTCTGTCTCCCTAACTAATCTTCCCTGGCCAAGGCTCACAGAACGGCCCCCTCGCCCTTCAGACAAAGAAGCTGGTGGCAGGATCCACTGCCGGCATCACGTTCTGGCCATCAGGCCCCAAATGCAGACTTTGTTCTGGGTTAAAGACGCTGTTAGCTGTCCCACTGTAAGGTCTCCATTGGGAATGGAGGCAACTCTGGACCCTAGACTTTCTTGTGCCCCAACCCTACAGGGCGCCTGGGTACCTTTCCCTGGCTCACTGCAGGGACTCCAGGAATTGGCAGGCAAAGAGAAGTTCTGGGTTTTGAGCTCCGGGCTGAGTGAGGGGCCAGTTCCTGCAGGGACGCCTGTAGCTGTGGCTGGAGGGAGGGACACTCAGCGCGTGTGTGCACCAATCCGCTCATATTTAATTTACAAAGGAGCCTCTGAGCCTCCTGGCCCTCGGTTCCTTTAGTTGAAGCTCTTTGCCCATCTCTCCCCCACCCCCTCCCCAGCTTATTAAAATGCTCGACACTCAAATCAGGGTATTGATCTCCGCTGAGGCCCCAGCTCCGCGCCATCGACCCACAGCAGGAGACCCCCATGGCCTGGGGTGAGGGCTGAGGGGCCACGTGCGCCCCGTGAGGCCAGTGTCTAGGGCAAGGATGACAGGGGCGGGCAGGACTGGGCGGGGGGGGGGTGGCGAGTCTGTCCCCCGTCTTGGTTCTGGTCAGCAGCTGTCTCCGGGGCTGCAGTGAGCAGAAATTGGGTTTTAGGCAAGTACCTTGGTTGCCCCGCACCTTCCCCTCCTTGCAAAAAGAAATCCCAGGGTTTCAGGGTTTCAGCAAGAGACAGGGGGAGTCTGGAGCAGCAAAGTGTCTATAAATCTTTTGAGGCTGGCTGCTGTGTGAGGGTGTGAGACTGCGGGTGGTGGCAGGCCCTGGCGGCATTGACGGGTGGTGTGGGTGGGTGGCAGTGCGATCACTGGCAAGCCTGTGAAGTTACGTGCGGAGGAGGAGATGCGCGGCCTTAAGTCCCATCCCGCAAGGCTCCAAGAAGCGCAAACGTTTTGTAACATTTCTCGTGGGTTCCACTACCCCTTGTGGCCCGTTATACTAGAGCTGGAGGTCTCCCTGCTTCTGCTCTCTGGTCGGCTTCTTTGGAGCTTGGGTTGACTGGGGCCCCTACCCAGTCCTTTGGTTCTCACCAGCCAGCAAATTGGGTAGTTGTCTTCTAGCGCTGGTTTAGCCACAAAAGACCAGACTACTCAGGGTTTCAGAGGCAGGGCGGGGGCGGGCTGGTGAGAGGAACGTCGCTTCCCCGCGCACCCTGCGGTGCAGCGCGTTCTCGTCGCAAGGTTGGAGAGGCGGGCGGGAGGGGAGGGGAGCGGAGGAGATGAAGATTCGGATCTGCACAGACTGAGGCAAAAAAACGGCAGGGAGGGTGAGGCGCTCTGCTAACACTATCAATTATGCATCGTGTTGAACGTGTCTTGGAAAGGAGGAGGCTAGAAGGGGAGTGTGGGAGGGAAAGGTCCATGCGCTACCGGCTGCGCAACTCTTGTGGGTCCTGTTTCGGGTCCGTCTGCGCAGCAGTCCACAATTGCAATAAGAGTTTAAAGGCAAAGACACGCCCCCCCCCAGCCGCGCGCCTTTCTTCCCCCCAAATTCTTAAAAAATGGTTTGTCTCACGTGTTGTGGGGCGTAAAAGCTGCTCGCATTCAATTAACATCCTTGCTCCCTGGCGCTGGCGGGACGGGGCGCATGAGGGTGAGTGCGGTGAATATGTGTGCGAGCGGGGAGCGACGGTGGGGAGTGAGGGGTGTGTGTGTAAATGAGTGTGCGCCCTAGTGAGAGCTCAGCACATGAACCCAATTATTGTATTATGAATAATTCTAACGTGTAAAGGTCGACTGTGTGGAATGAGTGAGGGTCTGTACGTGTCTGTGCAAATGTGTTTGATTGTGGGGGCCATGTTGAAAGGGATAATTACCAGGCCTGTGGGTGTGTAAATGTGGAGGGACGTGGATTATTGGGGTGCGGTGAGCTGCAAAGAATTGAGTGGAGGTCACGGGCATGGGGACGCCCCCTGTGACCGACATGTCTCGGTCTTGGTCTGGAGGAGGGTCTTTAACAAATGTAGATGATGCTGGAGGTGGGAGAGGCTGTGCGCGTCCCCGCTGAGTCTGGTAGCGCGCTCGGACCCTCTCCAACCTGCAACCAGTGAGAAGTGGGGGGAGCAGAAGAAAGAGGAAAATACTGCAAGTGGGACCAGGGCAGTCCCTTAAACTCACCTGCCTATTCCCTGCCCCTCCCTCCTTTCTCCCCCACAGCCACAGCAACAGATGCGGGGAGCATCCCCAGGCAGAGGTCCTGGCTAAGCGACCCAGCATCTGAAGGATAGTGTAGAGAGCCCTGTCAGCGCGCAACGGGTAAGCCACGGAGTCGGATCTACAGCCTCAACTCAGTTTGGGAGGTGGGTTCCGCCTGGGGGGGCAGAACTCTGTTGGTTGGGTCTGGGTGGGATAAGATAGGGAAGGGGGCCTCCCTGGGGATCAAAGGCGGAGCAGGGGACCCGGTTCTAAGGATGGAATAAGGGAGGGACGTTGCCAAGTCTGACAGTTCCCCCCCCCACCCAGGCAGGGGCGGGGTATTTGTGCCTAAGTGCTTTTGTGCGCCTGGGGAGAAGAAGGCCAGTTTTTGTATTTTGGGTTTTTTTGTGGGGTGGGAAGGATCAGGCATCGTGAAACTGGACAGCAAGCTGCAGAATCTTTAGCCTTGGGGCGGGAGTGTTTGTACCTTATTAGCTTATGGTAGTTTCCTTGGGCGTTCGAGTGGGGTCCTTCGGTCAAGCTGGGCCCCAGGGGGAATCCAAAGGAGTGCTCCAGGACCAATCCTCAACCTTTCTGTCTGGATATCCAAGGAAGATTGTCTTTTCCAGATGCAAAGTTGACCATGAAGGATCTAGCTGTCCTTTAGGGCCCTGCAGGTCTGCTCTTATCCCTGGGGTATTCGCCCCAAGTTCATGTTCTAGGCATTGCTAATCAGATGGGTTAGGAAAACTTGGGGTTTCAGCCCTGGGGTGGGCTGTGTGCACAGGCAAGCGGGTGTCTATGTCCCTGTGTGGTGTAGTTCGGTTCAAGTAAGGACGCAAGTCCTCTCTGGGCAATTCTCACAATGAATTGGAAAGCACTTTGCACCGTGGTGGGAAATGCTGTGCAAATGGCTAGTTCTTTTGGTTGAACAATGAAGTCTCCAGAGAATACTGCATAGGTGCCTGTGTGTCGGTTGTGTGTGTGTGTTGTGAACCTTCTAATAGACACACACTGTAAGCCCCTACAGAAGTTGGCAGATTGATAGAGACCTCAAGCCTGTATGTATTGTGTGCAGCTGTATGGGTGCAGTGTGAGAATGCTGTTTCTTGGGACAAAGGAAAGACAGACAGACCGCCAGAGACAAAGACACCCTTTCTATGGATCCTTTTTACAGGCTGAGCGGAGACTCTGAAAAAGAAGGGGCAGATTTAAGAGTTGCTCAGCCTATAGTGCTTGGCGGGGATGGGGCCAGGTATGAGAATGCTAGAAATAACCTCAAGGCCTTAAGACGCAATATGTACTGAATCCCAAACTTTCATGGAGCTTCATCTGTGCGGAAGACAGGATCTTCCACCTACAGAAGATTACAAGGAGCTCTGGGACCCGCTCTAGATCAGCTTGGTTAGGAAGAGTTTTATAGGAGAGGGGAGCTGGGGTTCACCTTCTCCCCTTAACTGCCCCCCCCTTCCTTCTGCAGGAGCAGCAATGGCGTCTTTGAGGGCCGTTTGGCTGGTCTGCGCGCTGCTCCGAGTGGCGGGAGGATGCCCGGAGCCGTGCGCCTGCGTGGACAAGTATGCTCACCAGTTTGCCGACTGTGCCTACAAGGAACTGCGCGAAGTGCCCGAGGGGCTACCGGCCAATGTGACCACGCTTAGTTTGTCCGCCAACAAAATCACTGTGTTGCGTCGCGGGGCCTTCGTCAACGTCACGCAGGTTACTTCTCTCTGGCTGGCACACAACGAGGTGCGCACAGTGGAGCCAGGCTCTCTGGCTGTGCTGAGCCAGCTCAAGAACCTCGACCTGAGCCACAACCTCATATCCAGTTTCCCGTGGAGCGACCTGCGTAACCTGAGCGCTCTGCAGCTGCTCAAAATGAATCACAACCGTCTAGGTTCGCTGCCTGGAGACGCGCTCGGCGCATTACCGGACTTGCGCTCCCTGCGCATCAACAACAACCGTCTGCGTACGCTGGCGCCGGGCACCTTCGACGAGCTGAGCGCGCTGTCGCATTTGCAGCTCTATCACAACCCTTTCCACTGCGGCTGCGGTCTTGTGTGGCTGCAGGCCTGGGCTGCGAGCACTCGAGTCTCGCTGCCCGAGCCTGACTCCATTGCATGCGCCTCGCCTCCCGCGCTGCAGGGGGTGCCGGTGCACCGCTTGCCCGCTTTGCCCTGCGCACCGCCCAGCGTGCGTCTGAGCGCAGAGCCAGCGCCAGAATCACCGGGCAGCCCTCTGCGAGCTGGATTGACGCTCGTGCTGCATTGCACCGCCGAAGGCCACCCGACACCCCGCCTGCAATGGCACCTTCAGATTCCGGGTGGCACTGTAACCTTAGAACCCCCAGCCCTGAAAGAGGAGGACGATGACGGCGGGGATGGGCTGGAGGATGGGGAGGGAGAAGGGGATGGAGACGGGCCCCCGCAGACCGAGGCTCCAGCTCCAACTCTGGCGCCTGCTTGGCCCGCACCCCCAGCTACCCCGCGTTTCCTGGCCCTCGCCAATGGCTCCCTATTGGTACCCCTCTTAAGTGCCAAGGAGGCGGGTGTCTACACCTGCCGTGCGCAGAATGAGCTGGGCGCAAACTCGACGTCAATACGTGTGGCTGTGGCAGCAACAGGACCCCCGAAGCATGCGCCCAGCGCTGGAGGTGAGCCAGGTGGGCAGACCCCGGTCTCGGAGCGCAAGTCTACAGGCAAGGGTCGCGGTAACAGTGTCCTGCCTTCTAAGCCCGAAAGCAAAACTAAAGGCCAAGGCCTGGCCAGGGTCAGCATCCTTGGGGAGACCGAGGCGGGGCCGGAGGAGGAGGCAGGTGAGGGAGAGGAAGGTGATGACCAGGTTCCGGTGGATCCCACGGAGGAGCAGAGCTGCGGAGGCGGGGACCCTTCGCGGTATGTGTCCAACCACGCTTTCAACCAGAGCTCAGACCTCAAGCCCCATGTCTTTGAACTGGGCGTCATCGCTCTGGACGTGGCAGAGCGCGAGGCGCGGGTGCAGCTGACGCCGCTGGCGGCGCGCTGGAGCCCTGGGCTCGGCGGGGCCGGAGGAGCGAGGCGGCCCGGCCGACAGCCGCTGCGCCTGCTCTACCTGTGCCCTGCGGGAGGCGGCGCTGCGGTGCAGTGGTCCCGCGTGGAGGAGGGCGTCAACACCTACTGGTTCCGCGGTCTGCGGCCCGGCACCAACTACTCGGTGTGCCTGGCGCTGGCAGGCGAGGCATGTCACGTGCAGGTGGTGTTCACCACCAAGAAGGAGCTGCCCTCGCTGCTGGTCATCGTGGTGGTGAGTGTGTTCCTCCTAGTGCTGGCCACCGTGCCCCTGCTGGGCGCCGCCTGCTGCCATCTGCTGGCCAAACACCCGGGTAAGCCCTACCGCCTCATCCTGAGGCCACAGGCCCCTGACCCCATGGAGAAACGCATCGCCGCTGACTTCGACCCGCGTGCCTCCTACCTCGAGTCAGAGAAAAGCTACCCCGCGGGCGGCGAGGCAGTCGGCGAGGAGCCGGAAGAAGAGGCCCCGGATGAAGGCGAGGGCCTGGATGAAGACCCGGAGCCGGAGGATCCTAGCCAGGATCTGCAGAGAGAGGAAAGCCTGGCGGCCTGCTCGCTAGTGGAGTCCCAGTCCAAGGCTAACCAAGAAGAGTTCGAGGCGGGCTCCGAGTACAGCGACCGGCTGCCCCTGGGCGCCGAGGCGGTCAATATTGCCCAGGAGATTAATGGCAACTACAGGCAGACGGCGGGCTGAGCCTTGTGCCCAGCTGGCCTGCCCATTCCCCCTCTTCATCTTGGGTCCATAGGAGCTGAAGCCTTGGGCTGGCAGGACTTACGACCCCATCCCTCCCCTGGGTACACTTACTCCGCCCCCTTGTCATTTCCCAACCTTGAGTACTACTAGCAAAATCCGGTAGGGAGTGGACGGACTTCAACACTCCTGGTACCTGCAGCCTGCTGTCAATTTCTTGGCAGAATCTCCTTCCCCTCAAGCAGTTTGCCCGCTCCTTTTCCAAATAAGCCACGGCCCACAACTGGTGGAGGCAAATATTTATACCTCTCCATGCCCACTGCGAGTGTTACCAGCGGGAACAAGCAGCTGGCGGCGAGTTCTATGCCTCTTTGCTCCACCGCCGAGCCCATCCAGGGCTCTGGATAGGAAACAACACATCTGGCGGTAACTCTGTGGCTCTGGGACCAGCCTGGAACCTCTAATAGATGTTCTAACTCAAGAGCCCTGGGATCCTTACCCCACTCTCGCCCTCTCTGCCTTTTCCCGGGAGGAAGGATCAGGTATCAGGGCGCAAGGATCCCTTCCACCGATACTTCTTTTTGTGTGAAAAACCTTCCTTTCAACTGGGAACCAAACCCTTCTGTCCTCGTTCTTCCGCAACGTTCCCCCTTCTGCCAATGTTTCTAGGCTGCTTCTGACCAGCTGGAGCTGAACCGGGTGCCTGGGGCGCCCTTCAGTCCAGGGCTGTGACTTTCATATTTTCATTCCTTTCAAAGACAGTGACACTCTCGGGCCTGGTGCTAAGAGCCCTTCCCAGCCTCTGGAAAAGCTGGACGTCTGTACAGCGGTGGCTAGGAATCCGTTTTCTCTCCTAACTGACGGCGCTCCGAGACAGCGCGCCCCTTTTCCACAGTGGGTTCAGGCTTGGAGCTGGGCCAATTTCGTTGTCGATATGCTTTTGGTTTCTGAAGGTCCATGCTATCCCATTGGGCCCTGATCCCAGCCAGAGAAAGAGGGGGGCGTAGGAAGCCAACTGTGGCCCCTTGACTAGTTAGTTCTTCAGTGGGTCCTGGCGCCCCTGGTCCCGCACAAAGCCTCGGCGGGCCTCCGGCGAGATCCGGTGGAGAGAAGCATCCTCCCGCTCCTCGTGGCGCCCCGCCCGCACCACCTTCCTAGAGAATCTCTTTGTCGGGCTTTTAGCCCCCAGATGAGCGTGCTCTGTAGGAGAAAAGTCTGTGTCCTGTTAAGTGTGACTGTGTAGAGTAGAGGGGGCGGGCGGGCAGACAGGTGGGCGGGGAGGGAGGGAGGTGGAGGGTGGGCGCGGCATCGTGGGCCGGGGTCCTTTTTCGTTCTGGAAGGAAAGCGTAGGGGTTGGGGTGGGGGGTTTTGGAGCCTGTGGACCAACCCTTCCTGCCAAGCGCAGCACAAGTGCGGCCTGGGAGGGATTAGCGCCCCCGGAGCCCGCGCCCTTTTCTATATGCGTCTGTGTGTAAACAGTCAATAAACAATCACTTTGAACTGGGCCCGGTGACTCTCTGTCCGAGGACCCCGGGAGGAAGCCTGGCTGGGGTGGGGTGGGGGTGGGGTGATGGAGGAAATCGAAAGAGAAAGGAGCACTTGGAACCACCAGTGTGAGTCTTTTGTGTGATAACTGTGTTTGCCTGACAGTTCTGTGACTGCCAGCGTTGGAGCCCTCAACTCTGGGATGGAGGGGCGAAGGCACATGGAAGGAAGTGGAAGTGGAGGTGGGGAGGCTAGGAAGGGAAGGATGGGGGGTGGTAGGGCTCTGCATGCGCCCAGAGCGGAGCACAAGTAATGGGAGAGAGGGGAGTGTGTGTGTATGTGTGCATGTGCATGCACGCGCTATCTAGTTTCTGGATCTCAATACCAGCTTGAGATCTCGAGCAAGACAGTATGTGAGCGAGTGTGTGTGTGTGTGTGTGTGTGTGTGTGTGTGTGTGTGTGTCAGAAGGGTCCACATGCGCTGAACCGCCAGGCTTCCACCAGAGAAGTTAAATTAAACATAAACTACAGAAAAAGCTACCGCCTTTAGCCTGGAGCCAAGTGTATGTAGGGTTGGCGTGGGGGCGGGGACGTGTTCAGCAAATAATACACGGACCGGTAGCAGGATGGGTGCTTATGTGTAGAATCATGGCCAGCCTGATTTAATAGTCCTAGAAAGGCGACTCCTTGAGGGGGGAGCAGAAAAGAGTGTTGCTGCTCTTTGGCTGGGCTACTGTGGGCTTCAGCTGAATCCTTTCTGTGCACCTCCCTGTTACTGGAAGGGGGTGATGGTGGTGTCAGGTGTGTGCAGTGGGCTATGACTCAGCGACCCTGTGGACACAGATCAGAACCTCACCCTGCTCTCTGCCAACCTCACCACCTCAGTCATGCTCAAGCCCATTAGCCATTGTGTCAGTCTTTCTTGGAAAAAAGAAGAAAAGTTAAGGAAACAATGAAAACTGTATCCCTCTCATTCCTTCCTCCCACTCCCCATTTCTTCTCTCTCACTCTCACCATGGAGATCTGGTCCTCCTTTTTGGACCAGTGCAGTCTGGGCCAGGTTTGCATCCAAGCAGTCAGCATCCAGTCCTATTCCCAGGCCTGTCTCTGTGACATTTCTTAGACACCTAAGCCCAGGTTCCCTTCCCAGACCAGCCCAGCTCTCTCAGAAATCACTCCCTTTTAAAGGCCTGACAGAGGAGCCCTGCCCTGGTCACAGCTCAGCCAGGACACTGTGGCCCAGAAATGCAGGAAGAAAATGGTGACTTTGTTCTATCCACAGTCAGAGCCTGTGAGAAGTAGCAGGAACCAGCCGAATTGCTGTGAGTGGTTTGGAGATCCATGCACAGGTGATTGTATTTTGACATAGGCCAGCAGGGCTCAGCGATTCAGCTTCAACCTCATCCTCTAGTTATGGATGCTTGGGAGAAGTCTCCTTTCTGTCCCTCCCTGTCCTAAGGGTCATGGTGGCAACCCCAAAGGATTCTGTGTGGCTGCGGAGGAATGTTCAGGTGAGCTGAACAATCCTGCTCCTGCTTTGTCAGGAGTTTAGCTGTGTGGTGGTTGGATACACACCCTGCTCAGCCAAGCCTGAGCTTCCTATACAAGATCAGGTTCAAAGACGGGAGCCAGAAGACAGAAATGGGGGTCTTATGACCTCAAGATAATCTCCCCGACTGCCTAGAGATACAGACCCCACCCACCTCCTCCCTGAAACTCCCAGTTTCTCTCTGTTTGGTCCCATACATAGAACAACCCCACCCTCTAACTATCTTCTGCTTCCTTTTACAGTTTATTCTTCCCTTCCCCCATTCTCTTTCTCTCTCCACCCCCTTTCCCATTTTTCTTCCTCAAGGAATTTCATAACCTCTCAAGGTTGGAAGAAATCTTGAAGACTTACCAGATCAACAGCTCATTTGAGCTTTAATTCTTTTCCAGGCTACCCCTTTCCAGGGGTTGTGCAACCTCAGTTGGTACTTACCAAGAGAGAGGCATAAGTGCCTTTCCTCTCCCAAGGGTCCAAATTGGTAAACAATTCAAAATATGTGCCCATTGTTTTGCCCTGAAGACCTGAGTGCCTGCAGCTGCTCTTGTGGGAATATTTCAGAGACATAACCCCCAGCTCCATCCCTCTTCCCAGGGCCCCAAGGCTCTCCATCCTGTGTCCTTTCACTGTGCCTGCTCTGTGCTCAGCTGTTGTGCTTGCTTAGCTCTTTCCAGTTTCTGCTTTTGTAAGCCATATTTGGATGTGACACGGGGATAGAGCCCAAGAGGTGGAGGAGTGCGTGTGTGTGTGTGTGTGTGTGTGTGTGTGTGTGTGTGTGTGTATGGAGTGAGGGGCCTGGCAAATGATCAGAGAATGCAATTTGACAAGAAGTAGCCTTGGAACTCCGGCTCAATTGATCAGGAGCCGTTAATTCTTGAAACTACAGAAACCAGATGCCCAGGATGTGGCCTTGGGTCAGATCGGAAACCTGTCTGCGAAAAAGTGATTTGAAAAGAGTGTCCCCTTCCCCCTACACAACGTGCTTCTTAAAGATCAGCGGGAATGAGAACCATCTTGAAGATCATTAGAGCAAGTCCATTAATGTAGGAGGACAAAGGGAGGCAGGGCTTCTTTGAGGAAAAAGCAGCTGATGTAGGCTCCTCTGTCCTCTGCTTCCTCAGCCCTTGTCTAGACCACAGCCCTCCCCCCAGGACATCTAAATAGTAACAATGGAAGCTGACATCTGTGAAGATCCTGTCCATAAGTGTTTGTCTTGTTACACCTGAATAGGATGCTAATATCTACCTTCTCTCCTGGATCACAGCAGGATGCTTTCTGTTGGTGAAAAAAAGGGGGCTGCAACTTGCTATGACTGCTTCATCCCAGATTTGCTAATATCAGAGCCCAAGTAATAAGACATTCCAGAGGGAGGGTAGAGGCAGGCATCTCTCTGCACAATGGGTGTGACCTGCAGGAAAGAATCATGCGGGAACAGAGCAGGAAAAGTTGGAGGAACATGGCCATTCAGGGATAAGGCGCCAAGCCGAGGGACCAGGACATAAGAAAATCCCAGACAGAAGAAAAAACATAGGTAAGCTTGATTGAATGAACCCCTAAACTTGCAGATTTCCAATATAAAGCTATTGACAAACAGCAGTTCTGCTGGAAAATTGGGACGGAGCAGGCAGAGTCATTTCAATTGTGATGTGTCGATTAACTGATTGCATTTGAAACTCATCCGCCACACATATGTGTTCAAGTACAAGATTTTGCCTTAGGACTCAATAGAGAACAGCATTATATTGAAAACTAAAGATCTGCTTAGAGTTAGAATGTAAAAGAGATAGCAATAAAAGTGATTAGTTCCAAATATGGCCGGTGTTTCTAATGAGGCTTGAGAAGATGGATTTTTAAAAAGAAAAAGAGGAGGAGGAAGAGGAGGAGGGAGACAGAATATAGTCATTCAAAGAACCGATAATAGGAAGAAAAGAAAACAAACCTGTTGGGTTAAATGAGTTGGAAGGCCTTAGTA